AAGCCTCAGATGCTAACGTCCCGGATGTCAGGGAGCAGTGAGGAAAATAAGACTGTTCAACCGAGGATAGGTTAGATCCAGGTCCAAAGTGATTTACGTCTAATTGAAAAATTAATGCAAATAGATTGTGAAAAGGAAAATACTCTTCAGAAGAGGTCGAGAAGCCAACAATGTTCTCCAGGTTAAGGGAGTAGACCGATAAGTCTGCCTATCCCTAATCAATAGGGTCACAGTATTCAAAAGCAATGAGATCACTGAGACGGAAAAGCAGACTGATAAGTCTGCTCATCCCTGGTCATTCAGGTCACACTAGTCAGGAACAAAGAGACCATTGAGACGAGGTTAGAAAACCAGCTCAAAGAGTGAAAACCGCAAAAGTTAGGTCTAGATAATAAAGGAAAGCATCGACAAAATAGGCACGTACACGAAGAAAGGGGACATAGTTAAGCGGTGCATCGGTCGAGTATTTTCGAATGAAACTCCTCCAGTAAGCTGCAGGCGCTAGGAACTAGTGTACATCCTCGTCAGAGGTCGGGACCGGCCACCCTCGGATAGCCTCGTCGTTGTCCGGATCATTCTGGATCCCAGAGCGTGTAGTGATGTGCTTTAGAAATGTCACTGGTCGGTAACCATTGCCACTTTGTTGCATCAACTTTAGCCAGCATATCGTAACTTTTGCAGCACCAAACCGCAGTTGTCAAGCTGTCCTTCTGATTAGCGGCCGTGTACATTTACGTCCTCTGGGTACACTAGACACTGATGGGCAATCGAGGTTCTGGTACAATGTGCAGCTAACACTGAAAGGCAGCTGGGGTGTTGGGCCATCCAACCTGCGTGTTTTTAAACCCTAAAGGCAAGAAAGTGTGGTGAATGCGGTCTTTGTTATCGTTTGGCTTGCCGTCAACCAACCAGTAGCCGGAAGCTTGATCAATGGTTGTAAACTACTTAGGTCCGATAAGGGTCTATAACGTATGGTTGATACGGGACAGGGAAAATAAATCTTTACTTCCCAGGTCGTTGAGCTTCCGATCGTCTACGCACGACCTAAGCGATCCCTACTTATTTTTCACAAGGACTATTGCAGTTGATAATAAACAAATAAAGCTTTTATTTCCGGTCCGCTGCTCTACCACTGAGCTACCCAGGGCTGATGATTAGGTGAGCAAATTTTAATACATGCCTTCTGCTTGGTGCGCGACGTATTGCCAATAAGCTCACAGTACCTGTCCTGATGTTGCTGATTGGCTCACTCACCCGTCACTTCCCTGTCGAGGCATATTATTGTGCGTGAAGTTTAATCGTGACTTCTACTTTCTACGAACTTTACACTACTCACAAACATCCACCACTAAAGCTTTTATTCTCGACAAGGCGAAGCACGCCTTTACAAGAATGCGCATTTCGACATAACAATGCGTGATCAGGAAGGTGTAAAAATCTGATAAGTTTGCCATAACAGCGTATGTTTGTGTGGGGTATGTAAGTATGTAATTCTGCGTGTGTATGTAGTCGTGTAGTTTGTGCTTGTAGTTGTGCTGATCCATTAATGAACGTTTGATGTCGTCAGCAACGTGGGAGTAGAAGATTGGTGTCCGTGGGTTGCAAAGGATTATCCGGATATCTGCGGGGTAGTGAAGTTATTTTGTGTCTAGTTACTGCCGCCTCGTCACAGTGGTGTTAAGCGTATGTTTGTGGTTTTTTATAGGGAGAACGCTAGTCCGGGGAACACACACCACGTCGTGGAACCCTGCCGCCGAAATATTTGCTGGAACGGTTTAAATTCGAACCGCCAATCTAGCAGCAAGAGGAGGTCAATCGGTTAGTCAGAAGTGGTGATAACCTTGGCGTCTAACATATCTACAACCATTTTCTCAGTTTCTCCCGGTACTGTGTAGGGACTCGGCGAGGTTTCTGACTTACCCGTTCAGCTGTGCCTGGGTCGATTCGCTGACGATCATGCTTGGTGCTACCAAGTTAGGTGCTTTCCCATGCTTGAATTGCTTCGCTATCCCATATGAGTTGGTGTAATTTCCCGTACGTCGTGCTTCGGCTAATGTCTGCATAGATTGTCACCCAAATAGCGGCTGAACCCTTTCTAGTACAAGCATACTTGCCACATCTACGTAGTGCTCATTCTCTAATGCAAAGCTATTGTTGACATTTTCAAGTGACACATAACTTGTTCAAATAGATCGATGCTGAAAAGCGCACCACACGGTGCGTGCGAGCGCAAAACAACGGAGTTATATACCGCGCAGTTACCTATGCCCATAGCTACCATGAATCTGACCTCGACTAGGTCATTGCCCTTTGCTTTCAAAAGACGTGTGTTAATATTTGCTTCTGGAAGGTCAAAACAGAACCCAGGTTATGCCAAATTGAGTGTACCTCCAGTGTCCTTAAAGAAAGGAATTTTAAAGGCCGTTAATACTATCTCTAATATGCAGTTGAGAGTGCTGTTTGCATTGATGTAGTAGGGGCACGACGTGAAACTATCGATGTTGGAATGCGTGCCACAGCTGTTCTACCGCGGATTCAGAGGCAGGCCGGTGAAGATCAGTTGAATGTTGTGGCCGCGCTTACTGGCCATCATTATAAACCCTGCGCGAAAGAAACAGTCACAAGGATAGGCTCTACTGCTGGTATCTAAGCGCTGACGAGCTGGGATTGAATGTATACCGGGTTGCTGAATTGCAGGGAACTGCATTCGGCGGAAGTGCGCTGTTCCTACATTCGGGCGACAACCGTCGACCCACCACCCACGATTGACAGGAGCGAGTTGCGCTCGAATCGTCCACGGGCGGCCAGGTCAGCGATGGCCTCAACGAACCTTTTTAGAACGTATTCTTCTCTCATGGTGGTTGAAGTTGTAGGGAAGGCTCGTAACGTTAGTAGCGGAAGGTCGGCTAGGTGTACATGTATCGCCGCCTCAAATCACCAAGTTTTGGTCTAAAACTGATGGCGGGCGTCCAAACGTCCTGTGTGTGGGAAGAGTCATTCTTGAGGGAAGCACACATGTTCCGCAGCCGCATCCATTGGAAGGCCGATCGTCGTTAGCAAATCCCTTACTTTGTCATCTAGGAAAAACAAAGGTAAAGACTCGTAGATCTTGGTGGAACTCGTACAAGGAAAGTGTTTATTTGCGTTTTCCAGCACTAAAGCTCCATTCCGACACAGAACCTGGGAGATGGCAGAACCGACGGTAAGACTTGAGTGACACATGTGTGCGTACTGCTGTCAGATTTCACAATGGTAGGATTAGACTGCAGGTTGCGGGAGACGGGACATTGCAGCTACCCGCGACGCCGCATTTGTACCGCGCAATAGTAACCGTAATAGACACGGTGAGCTAAAATGGTGAGAAAATGTTAGCTCATGGGTTAACATGTCTATGGCGCACAAAACAGCAGCCGAGCTGGGTGAGAGCGAGCACAGAACTTGAGTCTGGAAGTGTGTATTCGCAGAGCGCGAGCTACAAAATGTACAATCTAATCAGTGTCTAATAGTCAATGCCATAAAGAAAATTGATCTTTCGCATTTTCTTCGCGCTCATCCCACTACCAAGAGGTACGTATGTATTACCTGTGCAGAGCTAGAGGCGTACGAGAACTAATAGAGCGCGATAAGACATCCACGTGACAGATATCACCAAAACTTGCAAAGCTGGAGGAAGCGCTCTTAATGCGAGTGACGCTGGTACAGCTGAAATAAGGAACCATAGTGTGCTTAGACCCTGAGCACGTGTAATTATGTTTCCACCATTCAACAATTAATTGCTTTAACGTATATTCATTCCCTATATATTACAATATTGGTAATTAGTGTTACATGGCCTCACAGCAAACCAATAAAACACTACAAGTAGCTTCTAAGCTTGGCGGCTATATTTGAGGCGATTAGCTAGGATTTTTGTGGCCTTCTGCTGTGTAAGAGGAGCCGTTCGTGACGGAGTGCTCAAACGCCTTGCTGAAGTCAACCCAGAGAACAGCCAGACATCCGACGACGTCTAGTTCTCTTGCCCATTTCTCTCTGGCAACTAGAAAGTTGAAAATGCAAGCGCGTGCCCTCCCGAACACATGCTGGGCGAGCGGGATTATGCTTAAGTCTTCAACCTGGCATTGAAGGGAGCGATTTAGCGTCCCGTCCGTAACCATGCATATTACTGATGTTAAACAGATAGGCAAAACTTTAATTAGGTCTTGTGGAGCCCCGCCATAGTTTATGGGTTTCCCGAAATTCACTGTTCAATCTGGAGGCAGGCGGCCGACTGTAAAAGAGAGCCGAACTACTCGTTAGAAGGTAGCAGAGTTGGACGACTGAGGCTGGCAAACCCGGACTTCTTTTTTGGTTCCCTGGATTATTGGGATGATCGAAAGCAGAAGAGAAATCATTTATCAGCTCCGTCAATCTCCGATCGTTGCTGAGATAACCTGGGGCATTGCGGTACAATGTCCCACAGAGAAGCACTGAAGATGCATCGGTAACAGCTGGATTCCCGCAAACTAAAAGGAGAATCCAACAAATGCTTGAAACATTCCTCGTTCTCGGCATCGACCATGGATTACTGATGGCGGTTCCAGTCATTCACGACGGGGGTGGATAAAGCCAGGCTGCATCGTACTCGATGATTCCTCGGTTTGAACGGTATCAAATAGTGGTGGTCAATTGTCGAAATATCTGTGTTGAGATGAAAGAATACCTGCGTGTAGTTAACCAAATGCTTGTTTAGACAAAAGTTGCAGTATGCGGTCTTGCATACACGAATTTTTGCTCCTCTATAAGCACTGCAATAAAGGACTCATGAACATTTTATAACGCCTGCCTTCTTGCATATTTCACCGGATGTCACAACAACATAGCGGATACACACCATAGTCTACTGCACCTACTTGAAATGCGTCCATGATGTTTAATATTAAAATTAAGGTTGTTCTATCCACTTCTCTTATAGCGGTTTAAAAAACCTTACCTGTCTCGACCTTCAAAATTGGCTGTGAATTCTTCGACCTACGGGTTAGATGTACTCGGAGGGCTGACCGCGTACTTCGTTGAACCTGTTGCGCGTGTTAGGAGATTGAGTTGGGGATGGGACGTGCTGGCCTTAGCGACGTGTCCCATCACCAATACAACCACATATCATGGAGAAGGTGTTTAAAAATGGTATTATCACTTCAAAAGTACGGTTTCAGTCAAGAACGATGGTAAGTTGTGATGTCAAATCATACTGGAGATAGCCTTCGTGCTCTAGCATTCACGGGATTCCGTACAGTGCGACTGGCGGCCTTTTGGTGATTATCCTTTATAAAATGTCATTTTTAGGCTATGCTCTCATATCAACGATCCGATACTCGCGTTAGATACGGTACAAGATTTTTTTGTCCTCATGTGCCTCGAAGGTGAGCTATCCGCTAGACTTTCGGACTTCCTCTATGACGCACGGCACATTCTCGACTGGAGCTCTACTCTTGATGCACCTCCAAGTGTGGCTGTTCTACACTTCGAAGTGAGGATTCTCTTGCGCTCTCAAATGATTTCAGGCTTGCTCTGTCACAACTCCCGAAATTCACCGTATCCTGCAGAGCTCAACAGATTATATAAGACTTTTGTTTTCCAACTTCAATCCCTCTTTGGAGTTCAGTGCTTCCAGCGATCCTTGCTTTGTTGGATACTGCTTTCGCGATCCATCCTCAGGAATTTTACTTGACGAGCTATCGAAGACTCTGTCAGACGCGTTAATCGGAAGTAGGTCTTGGTGTCTAAAAACCTTTTATTAACCCTTTTCTATATTGCTGCTTGTTCACTATTTTCTTCCTTCCGAAGTCCGCTTGTTTCCACCGAGCCTGAACCAAACTGTCTACTTTCTTTTCAACCTAAGCGACCGCGGGAGTGGTGGTCCATTTTCGTCTTACTGGTAGTCCCATTGAGACGAATTTCGGACAAAACTGTAGTTGTATTGCAGAGAACAGAATGGATATCTTTGGTCAGCCTTATCACTTACCATTTCCTACAAGGCTGATGCGAGTCGTTGCACATAGAGTCCAACAAGGGACAACTACTTTCTCAGGGGACAGCCTGATACATGCTCGTCCAGCACATATGCGCCTAACGATCATTTGAGGTACCTCTGTTCACTGACGACTGGCTCAGGTAGTTTGCTCCAGCCGTTCATCACTGAGGTGGACATTAAAATCAGAGCAAACTCGAAACCTTGATTTAAACAACTTCCAGTAGTAGCCCCTCACAAAGCTGAGAGAACCGCATCATCGTCGGTATACTTTAGGGAAAGGTGAGAAATACCTCAGCTATTGTGTCGCATTATAGAAAGATAGGATGTATAAAAACGCGAGATACAAAACATCAAAAAATACAAAAATGAAAAACTTGAATTAATGCTTGGTGGCATACCATACTTCAAGAGCGAGATAGTGATTGGGGAAAAAGCTGGAGCGGGGGAGGGGAAAACAAGCTTAACTCAGAAACGCCATTGCGGCCTACTCTTCGCTATGTCAACTAGTGTATCCAACCAAACGTCCTTCAAATCCCAGCCCGGTAGTCAGAAGACTCGAACCGGCGACATGTTCGAGGTGACGCAACTCATTACCCATACATTAGAGCCTAATGTGTGACAACGAGGTAGGGCTTCGCTCGCTTTTCTTGCACCGAATACATGCTGCCGAATACGCACATTGCTCATGTGGTGTTCACAATCGTGAGCCAGATCACGAGGGCAGCGATTTTCTGACGTAAAAAGTCCCTTTAGACCTGTCGGTCTGATGGGCCGGGTTCCACAGCCTTTCAGGAGGGTCGAACGGACGGTTGCATTGTAAATTACCCTTCAGGAGGAGAAATCGTGAGGTATAAGTCGAGTCACCACGGCGACGATGATACTCCAGGAAGAACAACTTCATCCCTCGAATTTGGTGATAGTAAGGTGAGTTCCGGACTGTCGATGCGGCTTTCGATCTCCGTCTTTGAAGCTTCTCTATCAGAACACATTCGACCTTTGTAAGAAGATGAGCCATTTGCAGCCCGTACTCATGAAGCCCCCTGATTCACTTCGAAATATAATCTCCTTATAGCAAATAACATCCTCTTGGTAGTCACAACTTCAAGGTATCCTGGGTTTTGTATATTCTGTGCGAAACAAGCATTCCAAGCTGCGTTCCTAATCAGAAAGCATCCGATCTGAGAGGAACAAGAGATCAGGGGCACCAGTTGAAAAGACGTGTTTGATATGTAGCTGTCACTCTAATTGCCAGCATTGAAACCGGTCTAGGGTTGCTTGTGGCCGGTCAGAACCCTCAAGCTTGAACACTATCAGTCATAGGTTTAGATCGTCAGCATAAATCAGGCAATCTGTTGAGAGTTATAATAGTCGCTCTTAGGTTTCGAGGATGCCTCACCGCTTGCGGTGAATTCATAGTCATGGTAACAAATATCACCCGCTGTTCAACTTAACTGCGTAAGCACCATATTGCAGTACTGCATATCTAAGGCTGCGTCATATATTGTAAAGCGACGACTTTTGTATGGAATTTATCTCGCTGGGGAGTTTATCTGGCACCCCTGAGTAAGATTATTGGTCACTCCTGCTGAATGGATTGTGTAAATACATGAATTTGTTGTGAAGGGACGACCTATAGACTAAGACTAGTGGCACCCACCACTTTGTGTTACGTTAAATATTGTAATTATACATTTTACGTTATTTATAAGAGCGACCGATTACACTGAAATGGGACAACCCCTGTCTGCACAAGTGATCTGCCAACCGTCCATTTTTGCATCTTTTCATTCACAATAATAGGAAAGTAAGGAAAGAGTCTTATGTTTAATTGTGACAATTTAGTGCACCATAAACACAACTGGTGATGACCTATAAGTCTTTCTCGTTCAGTAGAATCGTATACCGCTTTTTTGCTCCTGGCGGTCCCAGTGAGAAATTCTGGGATGTATATCGGTCACCCAATAATTTTAAGCGTAGACCTACATACGCAGTACTGCGTTGTGATGCTACAAGAGTCGGTTTGGGCTAAGCGCTGATGGTGCTTGCTGTTAGCAACTGCCTTCATTGCATGGCTAAGAAACTGGAAAAAATTTCGCCTGACGGATTTGTGTCTGATACTTGTCTCGATGGGACAGCCAGGCGCACACAAATCGGTCACTCCTGTGCACATCTACCGATCACTCCTACTGAACTGAACTGACCGTCCATCTGTATTGGTACGGCAGTCATCCTATCACTTCACGGTCCGGGCTTTCTTGCACGGCACTGCATTTTATTGACCTTAGACAGGATGCGGTTTTATCATTCGTGTAGTTTTACCTGCTTTCGTATCTCAAGACGACTCTTGGATCGGCCCGAGGCGAAAGGCATCAGGCCGGTACGCAGAACCGACGCTTCGATGTCGCGGAACCACTACCAGTCCCATGTGGGCTAAGGATACTGCGAGGGACGCCCGGTCCCCATGCATGCTCAAACGCGCGCCCTTGGATTACAAGGTAGGCATGTGATCCTTAAGGCTACGGGTCGGTCCGGCATCTTACTATATTGCCTTCCAACATTCCACTTCACCCACTTGAGTATAGAACCTTTGCGTACTTTCGCTTTTTTCATTGCATGTTTCGTACACTCATCTGGTCCCCCTGCGTCCGGAAGTTTTGTTGCAATTTGTTTTGCTGGTTCGCATGGTCATTTGTTCGGATCGCGACTGGGATGCCGTTTGCAGCATGGTCTGCATTCCCGAATCCAGCATACGATGACTGGTGGTTTCGGCTCTCATTAACCATTCCCTTTGCACAGCGTACCATAAATCCTATAAAAGTGTGCCTTTACAACTGCCGTGATTATTCTGAATTCTTTACCATGTTATCACCCGCGTCCCAATACCGGAGTGACGGTGTCGGTGAACGGCAGACATTCTGAGTCTGCGTCCCCTGATCATTTCTCTCGCTATGCTGTCGACAGGTTCAGTACTGCTTCCATTGCGCTTCCTACGCTCCAACTTCGCAACAGTTCCTCTAATAAAGTAGTCGACACCTTGATCCCATCACGGGATTAGCTCTTACCTGGATATCTTATTTTTCTGAACCTTTTCCCTGTTTTCTGTTACCATGCTAGAATATAGTCGGCTTCTGTGCTACGCATGGCGCGCACTGCCATTGAACCGCTGTCTGTTGGATATGGGCGTTAATTCTCGGATCGCCTAATTATCGTCATTTATCGCTGTTTGAAAGAAATAGTACGTTGGTACGCCGTACCGACGCTCTGCTGCCATGCAACCACTACAAGTCGCGCGTGGGCTAAAGATGCTATTGGGGTCTCAGTCCCATACACAAGCTGGAACCGGTGACGTCTGAGTCGCAAGGCAAATGCCTTGTCTTTTCGGCCACCAGCCAGCCTATTCTTGCACAGCACGAATGGCCGAAAAATGTCCACTGGAGTGAAGGTTTTCTAGTGCTCTGTGCGACCTTTTTTATGCTTCCGACCGTCCCAGTTGGACCCCAGTATTGTGCTTACGCTGACATCCCCCACTCACCATGAAGCCATATATCACATGCGTCTTTCTAGAGATCCAGAAGTGCCCTCAGCAGGTCTGGCTGATATAGGTATAGCACTAATTGGCAAGGCCGAGGCCACACTGCTGGAATGGTTCACGATTAACAGCCAACTGTGTCACCGTTATCACCATCAACAACAGTGCATCAGCCTTCTGAACTGATGCTTCGCTGCCATGCAACCATAGTGACCTACGCAACGAAAAATACTAAGAGGGAGAGCAGGGGTCGCAAGCGTAAAACCTTAATCTCCTAAGCAAACATTTATGATCAAGGCGCCTTCTCCTTATCAACAACATACTGTCACAAACAGCTGGCCATCATGCGAGGGTAAACTGACATCGCTGATGCACCTTCCTTGCGGTCTTTACTGCCCCATGTCATAATCAACCATTACCTCGCGTATAACTCAGTAGCGAAACACACTTTGAACAGGTACTCTGGCTAGGATACGGTAGATGACACGCCAATGATGTCCTGTAACGTCTCGAGTCAAGCACAGTGCGGGTCACGTGAACTCCAGTCTGGAAAGCGAGGCGGATCAATAGCACCGAGTTTCCTCGTCAGTGACTTCATTTCCCGCTGCCAAGTTAACTTTTACCCACCTCGAGTCTTGCGCTATTTACATCTTGCCAACAAAAAGGCCCTCCTCGGTAATCGGTTACCAGGCATATGTCAAATCCCGATGGGTGTCTTTAATCACACTCCCCATTGCCTTGTAGGTCAGGTTGCTTAGCCAAAGACTCCGAGTGGAGTCCCTCAAGCGAGTTTCCATGTACCCCACTGCCATCTGAGTCAGACTGTTGAGTCATAGACTAGAGGTCGGGTAACTCGAACAAAACCTCTCACTCGGAATGGGCAGTCGTAAGATATCATCTGCCTTTTAGACCCCGTCGACAATACTCCATCTATTTGTTTTCCTCCCCTCTCAACTCTTCTTTCCTGTTTTTTGAGCAGGAGACTGCCGCTGACCTTGCAGCTGCTGCCATCGGCATCAAACCTAGTTTCATTTCGCAATGGTACTTTTAACGCTCCCACTAGGTCAGATCCACCAGCAGTCCGCACTAAATTTCACTCTTCACTCTCTTGGTATTGATGTTTACTGTCTCCGAAACACACAAGATGTAAGCACTCAATTCATCCAAGAAATTTCTTCTCGATAAGTCTCATCGGGCAAATACAAATAAACTAGTTTAAACATTTAATAGGCTGTGTA